ATACAGGTATATGATTGCAAAAATCAAATGGCCTGAAGACATTTTGTTTAAAAATACTATAAAAAAAAAGTATTTATATAAATTAATGAGAAATAAAAATATGTCATTTGAAAATCAGGTATAAAATAAAACAAATCTTGTAGGTTTGGGGTTTGACGAACATGAAACCTGCTTTTTTTGGAGCAGACAACCAGTAGGTGGAAGTGTTCATCAAGAAATCTTCATCCTAAAGTCAGGTCTATACTGTTTAAACACATTTAGTGACATAATATTCTGATTAAATCATCTCATCTAATCATGAGCACGAGACAAATTATGTCTAGTAAATCAATTATAGTGTGAATGTTTATGAATCATTCACACTATTGCGATCCATTTTTCTTCTGTATGTTTTTCAGCATCTTTCTCATTCTACAATTGTTCTGCTATTTCAACCGATCATATTTCAAACCTTCAGCTCGTTCACAAGAAGGATGCTATGACTTTTGGTATTGGTGCAACTTTAGCTTTTTGAAATGTTTTCTGCCATTTTTTTCTAATGGAAATTAATTGAGCTCATTTTACCTCCTTCAGATCTTTATATCTGTTTACAACCTTTCACTGCTCCTTTCACATTTTGTTCTGGTTCAGCTTCTTTCAGCTTCCTTCTGCAAATGTAAACCTTTTTTTCAGCTAATTTCAGCTTTCTGCTACAACATTTTCATGCTTCTAACTTCTTTCTGCTAATTTCAGCTTGTTAGGCTCTTTTCAGCTTATTTATGGAAATTACAGCTTTTTCTTTTATTTCAGCTACTATTTAGCTGTTTTTTATGCTAATTTTAGCTTTTTGTCTAATTCCACATTTTTTTTTGCACTCATTTAAGCTTTTATCAGCCTAATTCAGCAAACATGCGTTCTCACTTCCTTCTTGTAGTTTACGCTTCTTTATTATTTTTAGCTACTTTTCAGCTGTTCTTTTTGTTGTTGTTGCAAATGTCTGCCTTTTTTCAGCTAAATTCCCCTTTTTTCTGCAAATTTCTGTTTATTTCAGCCTAATTGGGCAAACGTGTGTTCTTTATGCTTTATTCTGGTAATTTGAGCTTGTTTTAACTTTATAGCATTTTTTAAGCTAATTCAGCTGTTTTTAGATGCATTCAAGTTTTTTGGGGTAATTTCTGCTACGTTCAACCTAAATAACTTGTTTCTGCTAATTTTAGCTTATTTAGCTCTTTTCAAGTTTTCTGCTACTTTCATATTTTTCTGATAACTCAGCTGCTGTTTAACTGTTTTTATGCTAATTCAACCTTTTTTCCAGCTAATTCTACATTTGTGGGGTTCATTTCAGCTCTTTCTGCTTCTTTCTGGTAGTTAAGCTTCTTTATATCTTTTCAGCTTCTTTTCACCAACTTTTTGCTAATGTGTTAAAAAAAAATCTAATTTCCCAATTTATGCCTTTTTTTTGTGCTTATTTAACCTAATTCATGAAATGTGTGTTCTTTCTGCTTTCTTTTACTAACTTGGGCTTGTTCTTACATTTCAGCTACATTTCAGCATGTTTTTTTAAGCTAATTTCAGCTGTTTTTCCATCAAGTTCTTAGACAATAAGCATTCACATTGCATTTTAGCAGGAAATGCAATTTTCTCTAGTTGTGTTGGGTCATGCTTTGGTCATTAGTGTGGGATAAACCGATCTGGGCTACAGAAGGAAGTCCTAATAACACAACTGATAATAATAAAGTATATATTTTCTCTAATGTCTACATGCAAACACAACAGACAGACATACAACACAGGTTTTCTGTGATCAGGTCAACTCACCACTGCAAGCTCAAAAGAGAAACCAGGACCCTCCCTGAAAAACACACAAAAACAGTGTTTCCCTGCCCCCTGATCCTTTCAGCATTAAAAAAACACCCACTTCAGGGACCGAGAAGCTGCTTACAGTTATTTTCTGAGGTGCATCATATAATTCTCGCAAATGCACATTTTTTTTGCAACAATATTTCCTCTCAAAATGATTTTCCTGCTGCAGAGCTGCATGAAAGCAACACATGTGCAGATGTTATCAGAGCACATCTGGTGCGCTGGTTTGTCTTTTATTTCAAAAGCTTTGGGCGTTTCACGAGTTAGAGAACAATTTATTTCATGATCATCTTCGATAAAAGCAAAATCATTTCATTAATTGATCATTCATGAAAGCGAAAAAACCAGGTGATGCTGATCTGAACCAGGATTTTTTTTTTTAGATACATTAAAGTTTACGAATTTAGTCTATTTAATTTTTGTTAGCTGCATTTTATTAAAAAGTATTTATTTTACGTTTTTAAAGCCGTCTCTCTATAAAATAAAGCTTTAGAGTTAAGTTGGTGGGCGAGACAGCAAGTTGCCACTTTCTGACGTACATTTTAAATGGTGCTGGAAAACAAAGGTCCAACAGTTGTTATTTTATTAAACACCTCCCATGATTTATTTCCTCTAAAATGTCATTTTGGCTGCGAGGAAAGTCTCAAATCAACATGTTTTTGTGCTGAAAGGTAGAAATGTTCAACCAGAGCCAGATGTTGCTTAAATATAATTCAGATCTTTTGAGGTGTGGTTCTGTGCAGAGATTGTGAACAGTTAATGTCTTACCTGCTGTAGATAGCTCTTTGAACAATCTTATTTCGGAGAAATAGGGTTTAGCTTTGACTAAACTGAATTCTAATCCAAGGACAGAATGATTTGCTGCTGTTTTAATGCAACTTCAAACCACAAAATGCTATTTTAATAAACTTAAAAATATTCTCAGTTTCCTGTCCTTTACATAGAAATGTTTGTTTGAAAGTGCGCTTCCTGAAATATTATAATTTTTCAGACAGAATAAACATAATGTTGATCTGACGATGGTGTAAAAATTTATTTTAAAATGCATTTGTTTAAATTTATGTGAACATTTTTAGATATTTTCAAACAGAAGTTATGAACTTTGTTTTTCTGGTCAGAATTCAACTCTATTTCTCCAAACTCTGGTTGTTCAATTAAATATCTAAAACAGGTAAGACATTACTTGCTCATAACCTCTCCACAGAGCAGTGTGCTGTCTGACTATTTAGTAGCTACAGCTAATAAATCAATCAATCAATCAATAACTGCTCGTCTGTTTTAGCTGATTTGTTGTGTGCTCTGCTGCTGCAGGGATTTTAACCAACATTATCAGAATCCACAGTGAAAAATTAAAATAAAAAATGATGTGCTACAATCAACATTCTTCTGTTTGCTGAAAAAAGATTTAAAGGTGACAGATTCAACATCCTTTGGCAGAATGAAACATACAAACCTTTTATAGAGCGAGTCGAATCAGTTCTTCTCGTCCTGAACATTTCATTGCACTGTTGACCCCGTGTTAACCTGCATTTGACAAACAAACAACATAACCAACAGAACATTTTGACATTTCATTAAAGACA